GGTAACACCCAGCGCCACCCTGACATCCAACTCAGTGGCCTGCGCCAAGATGAAACAGGCTCCTAGAGCCAATCGCCACCCAGATGATGAAGAAGAAGCTCAGCGCCAACAGTCCCTGATGAAGATGAAGTCCAGACGATGATACCCTCTGAGAAGATGCAGCTATGGCTGCATCGCCACTGGGACCCTACTCCTGAGGAGGGTCAGCAGTGCACCACGTGCTCCAACGCATCAGACGTCAGAGCGGACAGCGTTGACCCCAGTCTGGTCAGCGCTCCGAAGGTCTGGCTATGTCCGCCGTCTCCACCACCGGAATCAGCAACCACGACCTGATACCGTGTACGCAGCAACTTCCACCACGAAGTGTAAACTGCCAAAAAGCCCAGGACCGATGTCCCCATCCTATCTTCACCCTAAACTAGCCCAGACACGACCTAGACCGTACTGACTGACCGACCGGTACCGTTTCTGTTTCGGCCTCTACGGCCTCTTCCTACCCGGCTATAGGCTATAGGACCGTCTATCAGCGTAGGCCCATTGGGCCTGTCTGTCCTAGGGGTAGCCCGGGTCTGCTATTCGCAGTTAGGGTAGCTGTAGGAAATTCGAGTTAGTACCGGGCCCATATTTCCTATATTTACAAATATGTCCCTCACGAATTTTCCTTACAGGTAGGTCCCTCGGTTAGCCCTCAGCCAAACAAAATTACGAATCTGTCCCTACCTATAGTACAGCCTCGTCAGAGAGAGGCTACAGGCAACCTGGAACCAGCAAGTCATTGCACACACACACCGCCAGACTGCCGAATGTCACACAGGCAAATCTCACACACTTCACTCCATTCCAGCACATAGACCCTCATGCACAGGAGGGACTCACCCCACAGGTCACCACATTCCCGGATTCCCAGTATTATTGCCAGGCTGGTTATGAGGCCGCTGAGTACGATCTGTACTTTCTGGTGTTGGATCGATCCGTGCATGGACGGAATTGAACCCGTGCCAGACTAATCAATGCTGGCAGGCATTTTCTCAGTCACTTTTATCATCCTGATTCATTTTGCATATGGGACGCTGGACCTGTTTTTCAGCAGGTGATGCTCCCCACCAATAGATGGAGCCTATCTCAAATATATATATATAAGAGAGAGAGAGAGAGAGACAAAAAGAAGAAGAAGAAAAAAAAAACTGCGCCCTTAGCCATAAAATCCAAGTTGCATAACCACTACAGCCATGACACAATGTGCAAAAATGGAACCACCAAAAAAAAAAAAAGAAGTGGGACCATACCGAACCCACAGGCTTGTTTTGTGTATGTTTTTTTGTGTATTCTTCAGTTTTGTTTTCTGTGAACCACCGCCACCGTCCACATTTCCATGGGCCTACTGGTCCACCACGCCCCCGCCCCCCCCCCCAACCCCAAAACGATACTGTAGCAAACTGACAGGAGTGCCAGTTTCAGAGCATCGGGGCCAGTGGTGGTCTAAAAGAGAAAAAAGCTTCACAGCTGAGCAGCTGAGCAGCTGAGCAGTTGGGGGACCACCACCTGTCGTGAAAGGGGTTCACTGAGAGTACCAACCCTTGGTCAACCCCCAACCATGTCTGTAATGAACCCAGACTGGAAGATACTCGTCAGACGTCGAAGTACAAGTAGACTCAGATCTGCATAATGTCTCCAATACCCGTGAAAGTGATATCGGATACAATGTCTCGTTACCAAATAGACGAAGAGAGTAGAGGGGGAATAGACAGATGAGAGGGTGGAAAAGATAATCAGTGACCACAAAAGAGTAGCCCAATCATTACCCACTCCTTCTCCGGGCTTCCTCTCGCCTCCACGTCATCAACCAATATACAGTAACAAGTCTGATAAGTCCTGATCACATAGAAGTGCCACGTGGCACTATCATCTCGTGGAGACAATGAAGACAACAGCAGTGCACGGTATCGACGTCAACCTCAGGTGAGTACCAATTCCCAATCATCCACAGATCCCGATCTCCCTCCTTGTCGCAACCAGTCACCTCATGTAGACAGCGTGGCCAGTGCCACATCAGCAGCAAAGACAGGTGGCATACGCCACATCAGCAATGTAGATAGGTGGCATGCGCCACATCAGCAATGAAGACAGATGACCTGCGCCACATCAGCAATCTAGACAGGTGGCATGCGCCACATCGGCAAAAAAGACAGATGGTCTGTGCCACATCAGCAATGTAGACAGGTGGCATGCACCACATCAGCAATGAAGACAGGTGGCACGCGCCACGTCAGCAGAGGCTGGCGCTCAGCAGAGAAGGCGCCAGCATGCTGCGACAGTCCCACGTCGTCGTCCACAGTACCAGCGCACAGCCAGCGTCCAGCTAGAGTCAAGCCAGCGTCGAAGCAGCATAGCAAGACTGAAGGTTGACCTCCTGGAGAGGAAGCCTTATGTAGTATTTGACGAGGCAGTCTGGCCTCAGGTATCCTTCCCACAGTCGTACAGATTGACTCACAGCCGAGGGCCTGGATTGTATACAGTTGCAGACTTCCCTTTGGTCCTGATGCTGTCTGGGTACCTGCATACAAACAAGTGTGTGCGTCTGACCGGCGGCCGCGGCTCGATCCACTTTGACTTTGACTGTTGGGCCTCAGGCAGTTGACTTTGGTCAACTGTCGCCCGCTCAGGCCCTGAATTTACTTAGGGTCTTTTCTCCCCTGTGGCCTGGGTCTGAGTGGTGGCCTGGCGAGGCCCTTAGACATTCCACGAGGCATACTCCATGGGTTATTACAATGTCTCCCAGACTCAGCTAAACAGGTTCATGAACACGAGGTGCAAGTAGGATTACACTCGCGCACTGCCAAACTGTTATAAAATAAACAAACTGGCTTGTGTGTAAAATGCACACACAAAGAAGAAGTCGACGCCCATAACACATAGCACCTGCATCTAAGCACACTGAGTTCGGGCATAAAGCCCTCGCAATTTCAGGACAACCAACAGCGGATTCTCGAAACACGGAAATGAAAATCAGAGAAGAGCATACCTTCTTCACGTTGGCGTCGTATTTGACCATATACTCATCTAGTTGTGTTTGCAGAATCTTCTGTCCAGGCCTCTGCACTTGGTAATCTGACACCCATCCTGCGTGCATGAGTGTGTTCACACGGCAGAGTATTAATAACCATATAGATGAGGGCATCAACGAAGACGCAAAGCAAGCAAATGTGTGTGAGGCGCGAGAGCTGAAGAGAAGCAGGCAGGCAGGCAAGCAGGAAGGCAGGCAGGTGTACAGACGGACACATAGACAGACAGGCACGCGAACAGGCATGTGTACGGGCGGACGAACGGGCAGCCGAGCAGGCAGGCGGGCAGAGCAGGAGGTGGATGGACTGACGGTGAGCATCTGCATACATGCAGAAGTGTGCATCATGGAGGGGAGGGGGAGAGAGAGAGAGAGACAAGCTAAGGAGACACAGAGAGAGAGGCATTGCTTCTAAACTTACTCTCAAAGCCATGACATGGGTTCATGTGTGTTAGTGTACGTGAGAGAGAGAGAGAGAGGTGCACGTGTATGTGCGAGAAGCATATGGGATTGTCTCTCAACTTACTCTCAAGGCCATGAACTTGGTTCCTGTGTGATCGGGTGTGTGTGATAGAGAGAGGGCTGTATGTGCGCATGAGAAGGAGAGAGAGAGGCGAATGGCCTTGCCTCTAAACTTAAACTTACTCTCAAGGCCAGGGATGGTTCATGTGTATTTGGGTGCGTAAGAGAGTGAGAGTGAGAGAGAGAGAGAGAGAGAGAGAGAGAGAGAGAGAGAGAGAGAGAGAGATGCATGTGTCCTTGAGAGGGGTGTGTGTATGTGTGTGTGTGTATTTGTGAGTGTGTGCGCTTGTGCGAGAGAGAGCCACAGAGAGAGAGAGAGAGAGAGAGAGGGAGGGAGGCAAGACAGAGTATTGCAATTGACGTTCAACTTACTCTCAAGGCCGTGAAATGGGCTCAGGCTATCAACGCCAGTCGTTGAATAACTCCTTGCCTTGTCATCATTCTTTGCAGTCTTGGTTTTCTTTGCAATTTTGGATTTCTTTGCACTGTGAAGGTGCTGGAGGCCAGCAGGCAAGGAGGGAACAACTACGGCAGCAGGCTTGAGCACCTTCGTCATTTCTCCTACAATCTCTGAGAAAGAAGACACGTCCAAGTCGAGTGAAAAGCCAGCAAAACACCCGTTCCCTGGAAATGTCTTATTAGCCAATCAAGAAATCAATACCATTACTTCATATATCCACCTCTCTCTCTCTCTCTCTCTCTCTCTCTCTCTCTCTCTCTCTCTCTCTCTCTCTCTCTCTCTCTCTCTCTCTCTCTCTCTCTCTCTCT